TTAGGTTGTAGAAATATATATATATATATATATATTTCAACAACCCCCATACTCCTGCTTAATGGCTTTTTTATAGTAAGGGAAAATATAGGGTTAGCAAAAAGTTTTGTAAATTTTTTTTGAGAACGGGCAAAACAGAAAAGTACTAATAAGGAAATAAAGTAAATCTAACATACAAATAATTGTGAATGCGTTCAGGCTATTTAAAAAATATACTTTAAAAAATGATTTTCCCAAATCTCCACTCGTCTAGCGTTGCTTGATAGTATTGAATACACACTTAAAATGTGTATACAATATTTTTTTAAATATTTGATGTTAATTATTAGCACATGAAAGTTTTTATATTACTTAGTTTGTATAAAAGGACGATCTCAATTAAGCAGAGATACATAGTTCCAAACCTAGTAAACCATAAAGTTTACTAGGTTTGTGATACCGCAGTTTAAATTTTATAATTACTTAAATTCTTATCATGACCCACAAATTTGTTTTAAATTGATATACAAGCATTTTAAAATACTTTTAAATATAATCAAAATTAAGTCAAAATAAATAGATAAAAAAATATGAGCCGATTATTTTTATTTTTCCTTTGGCTTATGAAAAAGTGTATTTTTTGTTAGATAAATAGTTAAGTTTTTAAGTTGCGCTGTGCATCATTTAATAATGAGAAAGGTATCGACTTTTTTCAAAAACTTGAACACAGAAGTTTATGATTTCTTGAAGACCTTATCTTATTGAAAGTTTTTAAACTATATACATTTATTTGAAAGGATAAAAACTTTGTGAAGAAGATAAAAGCATGAAAGGACAACTACAGATATTTCAGGGTTTTGAAACGATGTTCAGAATACAGACAAATGGTGAAGAAAAACAATCGTCATATCCTTTAGCATTTTTATCTGTATTCTGCACTGTAGATGCTCCACGGTTGTAGCATCGAATCCTGTTATGCAGTTCTAAACTACAGAAATACTTTTTTTTGGTGAATTTCAACGTTGCCTTTCATCTCTTTTTATTTTCCTTTTCTACATACTGCATTTTGAACAGATGAAGAGTAACTCAGGGAGGAATAACATAGTGAGTGACATTATGAAAATTTAAAATTTTTCGGATTTGAGAACATGATATTATGATCATAATATCATGAATGTTAAGAATTATCAGGGATTATATTCCAGACTTTTTGTGGAATTGTGACAATTCTATTCTCAACTTTATGAATTTGTAGAAACCTGATGATGTGAAAAATCACAAAAACAAGTTAAGATTTCTTATATATAAAAAAAATTCTTGTTTTTGTGAATTAATGAAAAATCTAATCATAATTTTTTTGAAATTTATTTGCCTTACAATCGGGTTGTTTCTGTCAGGATCTAGTTTTCATGAGTTAAGGAAAATAATCTCCTATTTTGTCGGGAGAATGGAAAAAAAAAAAACACTTTTTTCAAGGAGATGAAGTTTTAAAATCACAAAAGCGTCATCGATTCCTTTTTTTTTCTTTTCTTTTTTTTTAAAAAAAAAAGAATTTTGTGAACTATGTATTTTTGAAGTAAAGCAGATTGTGAACGTCCATTTTTAAGATAAATTTTTTTATTAAGGACCCATTTTTACAGTAAAATAATGTGTGTGGAGTCCATTTTGTGGTAAACTATTTCGCAAATGGTTCATTTTAACTATAAAATATGTGAAGGGTTCGTTAATGTACATCAATTTCCTCTGAAATGAACTCAAATAATGCATTTTTTTATCTTGTTGAGACGATAATCGAATGAGAAAAAAAAATGCTTTATAACAATTTCGAAATATTTGTTTACATTCTAAATTTTATTTCACAAGTTCATGGAAAGTGTCGTTTTACATGCTCTTCCACAAACCTCTACGATTGTGTTTTTAATGTTAACGTCGATAAGCTATATCTAGATTAAATATAGGGGAAGATTGGACAAGTTAGACCAAGGGGCACTTTGGACAGGGCTCAATTATTTTAATGCTATCAAATATGTTTTTTCCCCATTAACATGATATATCGTTTGTACTACAAATCCTATGAAAGAATCACATGGCTCGATTAAAGTTTTTTATTTATTTCTTTTTTGAACAATTTGTATGGTAGCAGTGTTAAGTAATTTTTGGAATTCTATTACTTTACCATCTAAATTTTTTTCGAAAAAGTAGAGCAATAATAAGGTTATAAGTTATTATAAGGTTTCATTGAGTTAAATCTTAAACTTAGATAATACTTGCAGCTATTTAAGTTTATATGATAAGAAGAGAAATTATCGTGGTCTTTAGTAAAACCCAGAACATGGGGTACGTTGGTGCTCTAAAAATCGGACGAGGTTGGTCCATGAAATAATTGAGAGGAACTTTATAATTAGCATTATTCTAGTTATTTTTAGAGTTAATGTTCTCTTTTTTAGCTTTACTTTACTCTTTATATATATATATAATCTGCCGTTCAAGGATCGAACTNGTGTATAAATTTGTATTTATATATTTATATATATATATATATACACTTAACTTACACTTAACTAATTTCTCATTAAATAATGAAATTTGTCATAAATATTGCCATTTGTTAAACTGGATCAAAATTTCAATTATAAGAAATATTAAAAAGAGGAAACTGGCGAAAAAAAGACATTTTAAACAGGAAGCCTTAACAAGAAGTTAGCTATGTATTTTAAATTAAAATAACAGCAATGAAATTATTTCAAACGTCGTTACATTCTTTTTAAGGAAATATGAGTAAGAACAGAAATATTTTTTGAGCATACGATTGTCAGATTAGGTGTATCTTTTTAATGTCTTAATGTTCTATAGAGAATTAAATTGCAATGTTCGAGAGTGAATACAAATTGATAAAGATAAACGCATTTTTTATATCTAAAAAATGTGGGTAAATAAATGGTACATTTCGATGTTATAGTTCTTATTTTCTCCTGGAGGAAAATCGGAATTTCATTTGAACAGTTATTTTTTGATGAGCCCTTAAAAAACTTTAATTTGTTATGAATTATTTTAATTTATTATGTCATTTTAACTATGCAAAAATGTGTTATTAATAAAGTTAAAGGTTCAATATATTCATAGTGAAATCATTTTCATATGAATATTTTAGCTAGTAATCGCTATCCTTTTTTGTTAAGAAAATTCATCTCATTGTAAAAAGGAACTATGTATCTAATTAGGTCGTTGTGCCGATCTTTTATTATCATTTTTTCACACATTTATTCGATAATCAAGCATAATACGTGCTTTCCTCAATCCTCTTCCACGTATCACTGAAATTGTGCCCAGGCCGCGCACTATGCCTCTGTAGCATGCAAAATAAAATAAAATAAAAATGTGAGGGTAAAAAAGCGATAACTCGTCTTATGAAATTTCTTTTCCGAACTATAAATAACTATATCTAACATGAGCTTCTTTTTTTCCTGCTAAGTAGACCGAGTTTCTGCCGAGAAACGACAACGCAGTGTTCAGGAGTTATTCCAGACTTTTTGTGAAAGGTACAATTTTTTTATGAAATTGTGAAAAACCTTCTCATGATTTTGTGATTTCGTGAAAGTTAAGAGTCCTATTTTTGAGATTCCAGAATTTTTGTGAAAGATCCTGTTTATGAATTAGTGAAAAATTGATTCATTCTTTTCTGAATATAAACTCACCGTAAGAGCGGGATCTTTGTGTCAGGATCCTATTTTTTTGAACGTGTGAAAATAAGATTCTGGTTTTGTGAAATAAAACGCGAAAACAATATCTTTCAAAAATTTGTAGTTTTCTAATTGTGAATCAAAGACTTATTCTGCTCCGCTTAACAGAAGAAGAATTTTATAACTGGTTCATTTTTTTAGAATGAAAGCTAATGTGAATGTTTCGTTTTAGGATAAAATATTTTGCTAAAGGTCCGATATACCGACAGAGTAGTTTGTACAAAAATCCATGAACCGACCCTAATTTCTCTCAAAATCACCTATGATACTGCTTCACTTTCTTAAAAAAACACTTCGTCTGAAAGAAACCTATTTTTTTCAGAACAACGGAAGAAATTGGAAAAAAACCTGAATGAAATGGAAGAAACTGAAAATAATTTATAAATTGTTAAGCAATAAGTATAAGAATAGCTTGGATTTTAACAAATTATATTTAATACAGTACCATGAGGTCAAATCTACCTTTTTAAAAAAAATTATTGCAATTTTAGTATTATTTATTTTATTTTTATACATAAGTTTAGAATCTATATTTAAGAAAGAGACTTTTGAAATTTCATACTTAGCAGTATCTGATTATAAAAAATAGCATTTTCTTCAGAGCTACAGTTATCTTTATATTTTTAAGAACTTCATAAAATTTGTTATCATTTCCAATTGTCGCATTTTAGTTTTCACTTATTTATAAATGAGTTGTAAAATTAATATTATTATTTTATTGATATTACAGTTTGTTAAAGAAAATTTTATATTTAATATTTCTTTTCGAAAAAAGTTTCATCCATCTTTTCCTCTTCGGTTGGACGAACCTTATGTCTTACGGGGAAGTTTTTTCCATGGAATTTTTTCACAGATTTTTTTTATTCTTTACTGGAAAAAACTTGCCACCTCTGTTTATAAACTACAACAATGTGGGTTATCATATTTTATATATTAAAAAAAAATGATTGTTAATTTCTGTGTATTATATGTTGCCCGTCCCGTCCCGTTTTTTTGTTGTTGAAATAATTAGAAGAAAAATCTGACGCAGGTCTGAGAAAGACCTATAATGTATTTGATTAAAAATACTCCCCCCCCCCCAAATGAAGAGAAATTCGAAATTCAATTTTTTGAATTTTTCGAGAGCTGTAACTTTTACTGATAACAGAGCTGTAAATTTTACTCAGCTGTAGCTGTTTACTGATTAAGAATTTACTAACTGATTAAGAAATTAACGTTAATTGTTTTTTATTTACTGTTATACTGATCTTATTATATTGTTTTTTTTTTCTTTTATTAAAGTAACCAATGGATAAGAGATTAACGATTCCAATGAACGCAGTAGATGGATAATTTGGATTTGTTGTGGATTACTGGATTTTAAAGAATTTTGGATACATTTGCTTTTCACTTGAATGCGGTAAGATTGCAAACGTCTTTTTTTAATTTTGGTGTTTTTTTGTTTTTTTTTTTTGTTTTTTTTTCCAGTGCTGATTCATCAAAACTGAACAAATTCTTGTTTTTCGATGGAAAATGCATTAGTCATAAGACATCCTTCAAGGAAAGAAAAAAAATCGGTTTTAAAAATATCGGCAGAATTTGCAATATATGTTCGCTCGAGGTGTGTGGCTTAATGTTTATCATGCCTTTGCTTTTTCTTGAAGTATCTGTTATTTCTCTATTTTTTCTGCTCTCGCCCCGTAAAGAAATACATTTCTTCAAAATATTTTCTCCTTCCTAGCTTTTAAAGCTACAATTTCCCTAAAAAAGTTTTAAATTGAAAGTGTTCACTTTAAGATATTATAATCTAGCGATAGGATTTAAAAAATTAAAAAAAAAAAAGAAAATTATTTTTTTCTTCAAAAAATATGAAGAAGCTTTAAAAATTATTTTTAAAAAATATTATTAAAGTCTTTTTCACTAGCAAACTGTTATTTAGTTTAAAAAGAAACGTTGATCTCTCTGCAAAGATCCACCTGCTTTGTTTGCATGTTTTTAAATGTTTTAAAACTAAAATAAGAAATTTATATAGCTTGTTTGACAAAAACTCGCATTTTTGGGTCTCTAATATTTTTAAAAAAAATTTCTATAACAGAAATAATCCATACAATTCATTTTAATCTTACTTACTTTTTAACCACATTTTAAATCTTAAAAGTTGCGATTAAAACTCAACTTGATTGCCGAGTCACACTTAAGGCACCTACCTTGTCCCACCAAAATATACTATTTAATTTATACTTTTTAAATAATTAATTTACAAAGTAATAACAAAAACTTTTTAACTCATGGGAGTCGGATTGTTTGTTCTCAAAATGTAGAACAAACCAGAATCTGCTATTTACGATCCCAATCTTTCAGCATGGTGTTGGTTAAAAGTTTTGACCCTATTATATTAGTTTTTCTTTTTGTGTTTTGCACTTTATCTCTGGAACCGAATATTTTTATTTTATTTAAATATACACATTTGCGCTATGACAATAAGAAGCAGTAAACCAAATCGAGTGAAATTTTATATGAAAATACATCAAAGTATGATAAAGCTGATGATAACAAAAAGGTATTCACACAAACCCAAGATCTTGAATTAATGAACATCATTACAAAAGAGTACAAATAAAAATTTTGCAAAATTAAAGTTGTAGAGGGTTTCATATGGAACACGATCTTCCCTGATTACAGTGCAGATTTTGTTATGAATTCTCACGTTATTTATAAGGTTGGCAAATGTTTTGAGACTTTAAAGGTTATTGGGACAGTAAATCCCATTATTCCATTTAGACAGCTCGAGAAGTGTCTGTGACAGGATTTTGCAAGGTGCAATTGCTTTTCCAAGAGCAATTCAGACATATTGTAAAGGATTCAGGTCTGGCTCATAGAGGCTGACGCTTTTCTCTAAATATATATGTCTCGACTAGTCCAACCCTGTGCGAACAAGTGTTGTCATCCATTAAAATGAACTGGAGATGATAGCGCTTTTAAACAATCTTACATAAGACTCTAAGCTCATAGGCATATACCTTAGAGAAGTCAGCGTACCTTCCTGAAAGATGCGTTCGTGTGAACATATACCTCGACCACCATAGCAGTCCATTTCCATTATGTTGGAGGGATGGTACCTGGTCCCCCGTTCATTCCATCTTTGAACTTTTCAAGAATCATTCCTTAGATTGAATCACGACTTATCAGTGAAGAGAATCATAAGCCCACCACACTAGTATCCAAGGTTGATGTAGCTTGCACCAGTTCGAAGTGCCTAACCCTGTGACCTGAATTGTCAGGAAGGTACCTTGACTTTTTTGAGGTATAAGTTTGAGATTTTTGAACCCTATGTAAGATTGTTCAAAGGTGATGTTACTCCCCAGTTCATTTTTAAGAATTCCACTACTCGTCTTTCAAAGGCTGGTCTCGAATACCTTTAAGTCGAAGACATTCAGAGAAGGAAGATAACGCAAAAGACATGGAAATGATTTTAGGGAATGGTCAGAGGGCATGGAGTGGCGAGCCAAATCTCCAGTACTGAATTCCATTAGAGCATAGTAGAAGTCATACTTTCCATACTTGATATAAACTTATTTTCCTTTGCCTTGGTGTTTGCTTTAAGTCACCAGAAGATTCCGCAAATATTATGTAGATGAAAGAACTTTTATTTACAATTTATAGAATTGATTTAACACTAGAAAGGCTAAAATACCTATATTGCCCAAAAGCAGTCAAAATGACTGCATTGTGAAAGAGTAACTAATGTATAAAGAAATTTGTTTAACATTAATTTTTAATATTTTAGGTATTATTTTCAGCTATATAACAAGTTATTAGTAAATATTAACAATAAAAAAAAAATTATGTGTTGTGCAAAAAGTCACAAAATTCAAAGAAATTGTGTCATCTTTGTTTTTCTAATTGAAATTAAAAAGCTGTCAAAAAGACTTCCTTGGGCAATCCAGTGTTAAGAATTTTGTTGCTATCCCGTTTGGATTTTTCAAACAATCCTCACTTAGCACTTGAGTATATGAGTTTCTTATCATCTATGAATACCTGCTGCTCTGGAGAAAAAAATTTTGTCTTCAAATATGATTTTTCATTACTCCAGACTCATACCTTTATTTTTATCAATTTTTAATTTATTTATTTTTATAAATTTTTTATTATTTATACAATATTAAACTAAGTCTTTCATTGAGTTGACTTGCTCTTGCGAATCATTGCAAGAGTATCTCTAGACAGAGCAATTTGAAACTTGCCACACCCATCAAAATCCTCTCGGGGCATATTGTAAGAGTACACTACATGTCATCATCGCGATATTAAAAAATATCAATCTTTCATGAAACATTTATGCAACATTCAGTCATTATATGTACCACTTTTGATTAATATTTACGCTAATGAGACAGCCAATCTGATTGAAAATTATATCATAAAGGACAATTTTACTCAATGATTTTATAATATTACAAATTTGAACTTTGCATTGTAGTTCAGTCAGTGAGTTTCACCTTAAAATATCTCAGATATTTATTAAAGGCCACTAAATGCAGGGTTATGTTTCCCACTAAAAAAAAAAATTGTTTTTTCATCTATTAGATATAACTTTTTCTTAATGTTGCTGTGAAAAAAAAATTTTTTTTTACTAATTTTTGTAAAAATATTATGAAAGTTAATTATGCAGAGCAAATTTTAAAAAAGTGAATTAAGCAAAAGTTAAGAAATTGTTTACGAAATCTTGCATTAAGAATTCAAATTTGTTAAAAAAAAATACATAATGTACTTTCATACTTTTTTTCTTTTTTACAATTAAGCATTGCTCATAGATCATATAATATGGTTAAGATGCTATTTGCAATTTTTTGAGTAAGGCATTGTCCATACACTATCGTTAACACACTAAGGGGAGTTAAATCCTTGTAAAAGTAATGTTATACCATTTTGCATTGAACAGTATTTTTCACTTGCTCACAAATTCGAGTCACATTAGGGGAAAAGATTGCTCTTAGTTAATAACTAGTACTTAAAAATTATTATTTTTATAAAGCATTATTTGTAGCGTAAAATAAATAATGTATTTTCCTACTTTTTTTTTTCTTTTACAATTAGGCGTTCTCTATACTGTGGTTAAGATGTAGTACTTGTAATTTTTAGAGTGAGGCGTTGTCCATACACTATCGTTAACACACTAAAGGGAATTAAATCCTTGATATCGTTTCACACTTTTTTGATGAAACTACCTTTTAGTAATAGAAAATTAAAAAGCTGATGGTAAAGTATTTTTTATTGAAACTACCTGAATTAAGGAAGGAAAAAAAAACTGTACATGTAGTATTTTACCGTGTTGCATCGAACAGTATTTTTCGCTTGCTCACAAATTCGAGTAACATTAGGGTGAAAGATTGACTTAAAAATTATTATTTTTATAACGCATTAATTGAAGCGTGCAATTCTTTCTGTATAGAAAGTTTCAACTCGATTGCTCAAAATTTACAAAAAAAAAAAAAAAAAAAAAAAAAAAAAAAAACTCATAACTCTCACTGCACTTGAATATTTGCTTTGTATCTAGGTTTGGATGGCGAGACGAAATTATTTACGAAAAGAAAATGTGATTCTGTACATTTATCATTATGTATCATTGGAATCAAAGGTGTCTAAAATCATCAAAGTCGAAATATTATAAGCTTTCATCCCCTTACATCACAATATGAATGATAAATACTATGAGTAACACTAAATATCAAATGTATAATGCACGGTGCAAAAAAAAAAAATGATAAACTTTTGATTTTAATGATTAGATCTTCACTCTCTAGGACTAAATTTTAAAGGCTCGAGGGGATTACCTCAAATATGATAATTAACAAGTGCAGACGGTATTTTAAATTACAAAATAAGACACAAAAACGTAATTTCTCTAAATAAGCATACCTTTTTTTCGATGAATTTTGGATTTCCGACCCACAAAATATAATCAAGGAAATATGGTTCATGTATTTCGGTCAGGAGTGTGCTCCTAAATTTCTCGAGATATAGTGAAATACGCAAAAAGGTAAAATTAACATTAAGGGGTACACTCTTAATGTTAATTTTACCTTTTTGCGTATTTCACTATATCTCGAAAATTTTTTAAGAGAATTGAAATATGGTCAAAATAGTTTGGTCAGGAAGACGTTCCTAAGTTTGGACACTTTAATGTTAATTTTACTTTTTTCTTATTTCAATATATCTCGAGAACTTTTAAACGAATTGAAAAATTTTTATAAGCAATTATAAAATTTGTTTACCTGAAAATAATTCCATGCGAAAATAACTTTTAGTAAATATTTATTATTTTATTTAATAAGGATGGGAAAAATTTTGAATTGTATGGGAAAAAAAATTTGACATCATTTTAAAGAACATAATTTTACCTGGCAAAATACAAGATTT